GAAAAAATAGAGAAATAGAGAAAATAGATTTTTATTCATCGCAAAGGCTGTTGTTTTAGGAATGCTCCGGAATCGTAACAACGCTCTCCAGAGAAGTTTCATAACTGAGTGAATAATTTGTCGTTTTTTTTCAAATTCACCATTCCTCTTTAGCACAGTCATCAATTATCAAACTTATGTCCAACAATAATGGTCAGCATATAGCTTTTAGCAGGTAACTTGTGGATGCCATTTGTCTGAAAACCCTAAGCTTTTGAGGCTAAAAACTCGATGAAGTCCTTCTCGAGTAGGGCTGGGATCATCAAGTTCTCTTTTAGTTGATTCGACAGCAACAGAAGCAGATGATAGCCTGTTAGTGCCGGTCTGCTGAGCGCAACAGGAAGAACAGGGTGGCTCATGAAGGGCTCGGGAATTTTGCTGGACCTTCAAATTCGCTGACGAGCGTGAACCTTGCAATGTTTTCCAATCATGGTGCCAACGAGCCCATCCATTTCTGCACATCATTATTTTTATCAACAAACCCGGATCTTAGTGAGATTCAAAGGCATGCCCAGGATCGCACTGGTGTGGCTCTTGCACACGAATGTGAATGTATCGGTGCCAAGTGGGCCGGCAGTGAAGAAAAAAGGAAAAGAATCCGTCGAAAACGCTCAGGTTGAGGGCTCACTCACCTTCCTAATTGGCTGTGCTAAAGGAACGAGAGACTAAGCGCGAAGAGGAGAGTATGGGGCGAGAGAGCGCATCAGATGAGAGAGCACCAGACAACGGCCTGATAAGAGAGCTCGTTCGCTGCAGCTCGAGCAGCTTACTTTGCAAGCCCAAAGCGTTCTTGTCGGTCGAATTCCGTGCACGTGAACGCCACATTTGTGATTGTCCCCTAGGGTTCTATACTTCTGACCGAAGAGAAGAGTTATAAAAAACCTCTGCCTGGGTTGTGCCTTTAAGTGAACGTAATCGCTGACTTACGAATTTTAAAGTTGCCGCTCAGGTTGCAGTCCCTGATTCAGCTGAATCCTGTGCACGGTCGAGTCATCAATCTCGTGTGCTTCACGCGGAAGTAACCCACTTCCGTCATACTGAAAAAGAAATACTCGTGTCAAGCAAAAGACAAACGGTAAACCAAAATGTTCATGCAAAATCTGAAGCCCTCTGACGGCGGCTGTCCCGAATCACGAAATCTCCTTTTGTCATAATTTTTCTCCTCCTTGAGGAGATATTGAGGTTGCTATGGTATTCTGATTTCTTTGAAAAAAAAAAACCCCGTTAATTTCCACGCATTGCTCCGGAAACTGTCTCCAAACAGCCCTAGAAGACACTCGTTCATACAGTGCCACAGGTCGACCGAATTTGTACTTTTTATCGAGTATCTGGGCATTGGCAACCAAATGTTTACCATGTCGTGAAAGACACTCTGGAGTTCCATCGCAAGACGTAGGGCTCTTGCCGCATCGCTTCCATGACGCGTTTTCTGGGTTTCAGAATCAGAGCAGCCAAATATGCTTTCAGTCAAAGTCGATTTTCTCAGCCATAATCGCTGCGAAATACCACGGCAGAAATGCTTGAAGAGATCATTGACTGAGGTTTGTACATATCTGACAATGAATGTTCAAATGTTGTCGCTGAAGATTTTGCAGCATGCAGCTGAAAATGAAAGACTTTTCGACAACCTAACACAATGCGCTAAGTCTGGCTGTCTCTGTGTGTGTGTTTGTCCGTCTGTCACGAAATTCGGTACTACCTGAAAAACCACCTACAGAGTCCGGGTCAAGTTTGGGATGGGTGGGGCATGGGTCAAGAAGTAAAAACACATATCAGCTGGGCGGAGCTCCGCCCACAGTGGGCGGGGCACGCGCCAAATTGGGCGGTGCCGACGGCAAAAGTTTCGAGTTCGGTTATAGAAGAGCCCGGAGACCGTAAGAAACGGGTCAAAGGTGTGCACTGAGTTAATATGACTAATTGGAGACCTACCCATGGTGGGCGAAGGGTCTTCTAGATAGGCAGTGTATATAAAAAAAATTCACTACTCGGTCACGAGAAAGCCAGTGGAGCAATAAAAGATAGGTCTAGAGGGCAATATGTATCTAAGGTGTTCTCAGCATACCTGAACTGAGCGGAAGCCCGCCCACAGTAGGCGGAGCTTGTCTAATACAAATGCTCATAATTCGGTTCAGAGAAGTCCCAGAAGCCGGGAAAAAGTGGATAGAGGTTAGGGGAGGGAATGTCAAATGTTGATGGCGGGCGTGGCGTGCATCAAAGTGGGCGGAGTTTGCCACCGAATTCATAATCGGTTCCAAGAAGACCTGGAGATCGGGATCAAGTGAATAAATTTTAGCAAAAAACGCGAGTGAGAGGATGTGTCCCCAAGGTTGGGGATGTACCCCGAGTTTGGGGATATATCCCCAACCTTGGGGACATATCCCCAACCTCGGGGAGAGGGGATGGGTCCCCATCCCCTCGTTGGGGCTCCAGCCAAGTAGCTGATTGGGCTTGCTGCACCCGGCCCTGCTCAGCAACCAGCGCACCTTTCATCGTGGAAGCGCCACACCTCGCTTCCCTGACAGCCAAGTAGCTGATTCGTGTGGTGCATATGCTTTTTTTATCTTATCGTCCATGGTTTTACGTTCGTCCAGCTCATGGTCAGCTCTTATCTCAAGACTTTGTGATAACGCGTAGCATGCAGCTCCATCTCGAAGCCAGCGTGATCACTTCCTCTGATGACTTCTTCACCACTCACCAAAATTGACCGCTCCCCTTCGGAATCAATAAAAACTTCGTATAATGT